CCCCTCCCCCCTCCCCAGCCTTCCTCTCCTCCTCCTCGGCTGCGGAGCCCTGGTGGGGGTCTGCGCCCGGTCACCATGACGACGCCGGCGAATGCCCAGAATGCCAGCAAAACGTGGGAACTGAGTCTGTATGAGCTGCACCGGACCCCGCAGGTGACAGGGATTCTCCCTTCCCAGCTTGCCTACCTCCTCCCCCAAACTCCTCAATCCACAGACCCTGTCACTCAGCCTCTTTTCTATTCTTTGCTTTATTCTGGCCTGCCCGGTTTCAGACTCCCTGGCCCTACCTTTGAGCCACCTTAATCTTTTTAAAGCACTTTCACATTTATCTCATTTAATCCTCAAAACAGCCCTGCCAGAGAGATAGAGCAAGTATTATTGTCTTTACTTGAAAGATAGTAAAACAGACACAGAAATTACCTCCTCAGTTCAATATCAAAGGTCAGTGCATATAAGACACCATGGGAATTTATTGAAAAATAGAGCCTAACGCATGCCTGTATGGGAGGCTGAGACAGAAGAATCACTTGAGCCCAGGAGTGCAAGACCCTGTCTCTACAAAATAAATAAAATAAAAATAGAGCTTCATACTGTCAACATTGTGATTCAGTAATGGGATGGGGGCCTCAGAATCTGCATTTTTTAATAGGCACCCTAGGGGATTATGATACAGGTAGTACCAGGACCACACTTTAAGAAGTTCTGTTGGGCAGCGTGCAGTGGCTCAGGCCTGTAATCCCAGCACTTTGGGAGACCAAGGCAGGGGGGTTGTTTTAGGCAAGGAGTTCGCTACCAGCCTGGGCAACACAGCGAGATCTCGTCTCTCTATCACACACACACACACACACACACACACACACACACAATTCTAAACATTTAACTGGTCATGGTGGTACACTGTAATTCCAGCACTTTGGGAGGCTGAGGCAGAAGGATCACTTTAGGCCAGGAGTTCAAGCTGCAGTGAGCTATGATTGCACCACTGCACTCCATCCTGGGCCACAAAGTGAGACTTTGTGTCTCTTAAAAAAAAAATTATTTTGAGTAAGTCTTCAAACCACAGATCTGTGCCTTCCCACTCCTAGGCCTCTCACCAAACCTCAAATCCTCCTATTTCTCCTAACCTACTCTTAGCTAATGGACACTTATTGTTTCTGTTCTCCATTTTCTCCAAGTTAGTAGTCCCTCTCTCTCAGAATTCCCATCTTCCTGTAGTGGCCAACATGGGTACCCAGATTCTGCCATCTCACTGTATTTCGCAGAACTATTATTATGGGCTGCATGTTTCTAAAACCCTTTTTCCCCCAACCCACACCACCTTTCCACTCACTGATGCCTCTAGGAAGCCATCATGGATGGCACAGAGATTGCAGTTTCCCCTCGCTCGCTGCATTCAGAACTCATGTGCCCTATCTGCCTGGACATGCTGAAGAATACAATGACCACCAAGGAGTGCCTCCACCGATTCTGCTCTGACTGCATTGTCACAGCCCTGCGGAGCGGGTAACAGGAGAGATATGTTTGAGATGGGTGAAGGGGTGCAGAATTGGGGCCCCCCCACACTGGTCCTGGTTCAGCCTAGGCTTCAGTTCCCTGGACAGACCACTCAGGGCTTCCTTTCTCCTACCTCAGGAACAAGGAGTGCCCTACCTGCCGCAAGAAGCTGGTATCTAAGCGATCCCTACGGCCAGACCCCAACTTTGATGCCCTGATCTCTAAGATCTATCCCAGCCGGGAAGAATATGAGGCCCATCAAGACCGAGTGCTCATCCGCCTCAGCCGCCTACACAACCAGCAGGCACTGAGCTCCAGCATCGAGGAGGGGCTGCGCATGCAGGCCATGCACAGGTGTGAGGATTGGGAGGGAGGCCAAAGCAGCATTTGTGGGATGGGTCTGGACCAGACTCATGAGACTGTCTTTACTGCCTGCCAGTATCTAAGTCTTTGCATTCTGAGAGCTGACCAGAGCCTGATCATTAGGCCTGGAAATCATGGATGTAAATTGCAGCTTCTTAGTAAGCAACTGGCACGGATGTTCTTAAGAAAAAATTCACTCCCTAACTTTCTAGAAGTTAGAACAGTAGAGTGGATTTGAGAATAAATTCTGGATTCATACTGCGAGGAATTAGCTCAACTTCTAGGCCAGCATCTCTCAGTCTTTAAGTGCATCCAAATTGCCTGTGAGTCTTGTTAAAATGCAAGCTCTGATTCAGTATGTCCAGAGTTGGGCCTGAGAGTCTGCATTTCACAAGCTCCTAGGTAATGTCTGTGCCACTGCTTCCTGGACCACACTTTGAGAGGTGAGGGCCTATGAAATCAAACAAGTTACTTAACCTCTCTAAACCTCAGTTTCTTCAGCCATAAAACAGAGATAATATAATTACCTGCATCATGTAAGGAGGTTAACAGATAGGTGCAAAACACTTAGCAGAGTGTTTAGCACATAGCATTTAATAAATATCAGGTATCATCATGAGGATTTCCCTGATCTCTTAATTCTCTGAAGTTTAAAGTCTAAGCCCCTTATCCTTGATGCTTTCTAATCTGAACCACTTGCTTCTGCAGGGCCCAGCGTGTGAGGCGGCCGATGCCCGGGTCAGATCAGACCACAACGATGAGTGGGGGGGAAGGAGAGCCCGGGGAGGGAGAGGGGGATGGAGAGGATGTGAGCTCAGACTCTGCCCCTGACTCTGCCCCAGGCCCTGCTCCCAAGCGGCCCCGTGGAGTGGGTGCAGGGGGGAGCAGTGTAGGCACAGGGGGAGGTGGCACTGGTGGGGTAGGTGGAGGTGCTGGTTCTGAAGACTCTGGTGATCGGGGAGGGACCCTGGGAGGGGGAACCCTGGGTCCCCCAAGCCCTCCTGGGGCTCCCAGTCCCCCGGAGCCAGGTGGAGAAATTGAGCTCGTGTTCCGGCCCCACCCCCTGCTCGTGGAGAAGGGAGAATACTGCCAGACTAGGTGAGGAGCCCTGTCTTTCCCCAGACCACTGAGAAACCAAAGAGTGCATAGATTTCCATCAGAGGTGGGCTTTGCCCACCCCAAAAGAAACCCTAACTCAGAGGCCCTTTTGGAAAGCCCCTACTCCCTGCTTCCCCATTTGAGGCATTCTGTGCCCTAAACCTGTCCTCTTTCCCACTCCAGGTATGTGAAGACAACTGGGAATGCCACCGTGGACCATCTTTCCAAGTACTTGGCCCTGCGCATTGCCCTCGAGCGGAGGCAGCAGCAAGAGGCAGGGGAGCCAGGAGGGCCTGGAGGGGGTGCCTCTGACACTGGGGGACCTGATGGGGGCGGTGGGGAAGGTGGGGGAGCAGGAGGTGATGGTCCCGAGGAGCCTGCTTTGCCCAGCCTGGAGGGCGTCAGTGAAAAGCAGTACACCATCTACATCGCACCTGGAGGCGGAGCATTCACGGTGAGAGCCTCCCAGGGCAGTAGTAGAAGGGACAGGAGGGAAGGGTGGCCTAAGGCCAGCAGAACCATGAGCCTGTCTCACCAGCCCCCTTCTCCCTCTGCATCCTCCATCTCCCTTCTCTGTCCTTTCTCTGCTCCCATCACTCCATGTGCTTTGCCCCTCATTTTCTTTTCCACCTTCTCCAACTTTCTTCTCTCTACCCCCTCCCTCTCCTTTTTTCCCCTCCCTAGACACTGAATGGTTCGCTGACCCTGGAGCTGGTGAATGAGAAGTTCTGGAAGGTGTCTCGGCCCCTGGAGCTCTGCTATGCTCCCACCAAGGATCCAAAGTGACCCCAGAGGGGTCAGAGGATAGGGACCATGGGGTGTCCCTGTGTCCTGGCCCATCACCCCAGCTTATTTGTTCCCCAGTGCCCCCAGCCCAGCCAGCCAGCCAGCCAGCAAGAGGACACAAATGAGGACAAGTGGCTTTTATACAAAGTATCTATATCAGATTCTTCTATATTGTACAGAGTGGGGCACATGCCCCCATCTGCTGCCTTTTCTATTGCCCCAGCCTCCCACCTACACAAGGCGTGGGGGAAGGTGAAGAGCCTTCTCCTTCAGCTCTCCTGCCAACAACAAATTTGCTGTTTTTCCTCTTTGAAAACTGTAGTTCTGTGTGTCTGTTTATCAAGGGTGTACAAGGAAAAAAAAAAAAGGAAAAAAGAGTGGGGAAAGAGACCTAGAAATCATGTAGCCTTGGAGATGGGGTGAACACCAAAGGCTATTCGCAATATGTGGTTCCCATCTTTCAAAACCTCCAAATTAGCGAATGTGTGTGAAAACAGGACCGATCTGTGAAGCTAGAAGAGGGGACGAAGAGTGGAAAGGTGTGAAGTCAGATCCAAGCCTACGCCCTAAAACCTGAGTCGGCCAGACGGAAACGCAGGGCCTCAGTGCCAAAGGGAAAGCAGAAAAGTGGCTCAAAGGAGAAGGGCTTGTTGTAGACGCGGACAGGACCATGGTGTTCGGAAGAGAATAATTCCTTGTCACTGCGTGAAGCTGATGTCCATAGCTGGAAGGAAAGGGAGGAGGGAGGTGGGGCGGGCTGCGGAGAAGCTCCCAAC